GATTAGTCTGAGTCATGACTGAGTCCGAGTGATGAGTGAGTCTGAGTGATGAGTGAGTCTGAGTGATGAGTGGGTATGAGTGACGAGTGGGTCTGAGTGATCAGTGAGTGGGCCTGAGTGAGAGGAGTGGCGTGTTCTCTCTTTCTCTCTCCTCCGGCGCGGTCCGCCAATAACAAGAACCCCGTACTTAGGATATGGGGAACAAGAACCCCATACTTAGGATATGGGGAATAAAAAGAACCCCATCTTAGGATATGGGGAATTACACCACACGGGCCATTCGCGCGCGTCGGCCGCGCGGGCATGTCGAACTCCTTCGAAAACCTTCATCGCCGACGCGATGACATCATCCTCGCCATCGGCGGGCGTGATCGGCATCGGCACCGCCAGTGGCCTTGCCGTCGCCACCGCCACTATCGCCACCATCATCGCTACTGTCATAATCGTGCCTACCGTCGCCGGCGTCGCCATGATACCGCGCCCGCCCGAGTCACAGACTCGCACGGAAGTGTCCGCTGGGAAGTGCCCAGCGGTCAGCGCTACCGCGGCCGCGTCGGTCGCGCCAAACTAGCTGGCCGCTGTGCGCGCGAGCATGCGCGGGCTAGCGCGGCCGCAGACATGCACCAGCCAACGCCAAGCACTCATCGCAATCGCCGCCGCATGGGTTTTGCAAACCTAGTTGTGGGTGGGTGGGTGGATGTTTGCAAGAGCGTGGAATGTGTCAACTCGCTTGCAAAAAGCAAGTGCACCACATCGGCTGCACCACATGGATTGCCCACCATGTATTGCACAACGTAAGCTACCCGTTCTAAAAAAGAATAGGTTCTACCACCCTCCCCCCCGAGTTTCAAGAATCACCGGGAACCGATGTAAAACAGATAGGAGTCTGACCCAATGTCCATCCGCCCTGTAAATTCACACTATCCCAACCAAACCGGTATCGGTTTCCCCGGCCATCCTCTGCCACAAAACTATGCGCGGAAAACTGGTTTATGAAAAAACGGGACGAAGTGCACACGCGCGCGTCTTCGCGCGCGCATGCCGAAATCCTTCAAAAACCTTCGGCTTCGGAAAATTACCCTGGCGACGTACCCAACCCCTGCACAATGCGGGGCATGCGTAGCTTGGGAGACGTTATACGGAGGTGTTGACGTGACATGGGCGCATATACTTCTGCGAGCGGCATTCGTGAGGCTCGCAGCCCCCCAAGGATTGCGATGTCCCGCTCAGATCTGCCTGATGCCTCGCTACACTGGACCCACCAGCAGCCCTCGAAAGTGGCGACAGCTTCGCAGATCGCAGCCCCCCAGGGACGGCGAGGTCCCGCTCAGGTCCGCGCGGCGCCTCACTCCGCAGGACCCACCAGCAGCGCTCGAAAGTGGCGACACCTTCGCAGATCGCAGCCCCCCAGGGACGGCGAGGTCCCGCTCAGGTCCGCGCGGTGCCTCACTCCGCAGGACCCACCAGCAGCCCTCGAAAGTGGCGACAGTTTCGCAGATCGTAGCCCCCAGGGACGGCGATGTCCCACTCAGGTCGCGCGCCTCACTCCGCAGGACCCGCAGGTCCCACATCGCAGCCCCCCAGGGACGGCGAGGTCCCGCTCAGATCTGCACGGTGCACTCCGCAGACCCACCAGCAGCCCTCGAAAGTGGCGACAGTTTCGCAGATCGCAGCCCCTCAAGGACGACAAGGTTCCGCTCAGATCTGCGCGGTGCCCCACTCCGCAGGACCCACCAGCAGCCCTCGAAAGTGGCGACACCTTCGCAGATCGCAGCCCCCCAGGGACGGCGAGGTCCCGCTCAGGTCCGCGCGGCGCCTCACTCCGCAGGACCCACCAGCAGCCCTCGAAAGTGGCGACACTTTCGCAAATCGCAGCCCCTCAAGGACGGCAAAGTTCCGCTCAGATCCGCGCGGCGCCCCACTCCGCAGGACCCACCAGCAGCCCTCGAAAGTGGCGACAGTTTCGCAGATCGCAGCCCCCCAGGGACGGCGAGGTCCCGCTCAGGTCCGCGGTGCCTTCACTCGCAGGACCCACACAGCAGCCTCGAACGTGGCGACAGTTTCGCAGATCGCAGCCCCCAGGGACGGCGAGGTCCCGCTCAGGTCCGCGCGGCGCCTCACTCCGCAGGACCCACCAGCAGCCCTCGAAAGTGGCGACAGCTTCGCAGATCGCAGCCCCCCAGGGACGGCGAGGTCCCGCTCAGGTCCGCGCGGTGCCTCACTCCGCAGGACCCACCAGCAGCCCTCGAAAGTGGCGATAGTTTCGCAGATCGCAGCCCCCCAGGGACGGCGAGGTCCCGCTCAGGTCCGCGCGGTGCCTCACTCCGCAGGACCCACCAGCAGCCCTCGAAAGTGGCGACAGTTTCGCAGATCGCAGCCCCCCAGGGACGGCGAGGTCCCGCTCAGGTCCGCGCGGTGCCCCGCTCCGCAGGACCCACCAGCAGCCATCGAAAGTGGCGACAGTTTCGCAGATCGCAGCCCCCCAGGGATGGCGAGGTCGAGTTTGAATATGCGTGTGGCGTCACTGCGCAGGACCCACCAGCAGCCCTCGAAAGTGGCGACAGTTTCGCAGATCGCAGCCCCCAGGGATGGCGAGGTCTAATTTGGGTCCGCGCGTGGCGTCTCTGTGCTGCCCCCCCCCCCAGCAGGCCTCGAAAGTGGCGACAGTTCGCAGATCGCAGCCCCCCAGGGATGGCGAGGTCTAATTTGGGTCCGCGCGTGGCGTCTCTGTGCTGCCCCCCCCCCCAGCAGGCCTCGAAAGTGGCGACAGTTTCGCAGATCGCAGCCCCCAGGGATGGCGAGGTCTAATTTGGGTCCGCCCGTGGCGTCACTGTGCTGGGCCCCCCAGCAGGCCTCGAAAGTGGCGACAGTTTCACAGATCGCAGCCCCCCAGGGATGGCGAGGTCTAATTTGGGTCCGCGCGTGGCGTCACTGTGCTGGCCCCCCCTGCAGGCCTCGAAAGTGGCGACAGTTTCACAGATCGCAGCCCCCCAAGGATGGCGAGGTCTAATTTGGGTCCGCGCGTGGCGTCACTGTGCTGGGCCCCCAGCAGGCCTCGAAAGTGGCGACAACTTCGCAGATCGCAGCCCCCCAGAGATGGCGAGGTCTAATGTGGGTCCGCGCGTGGCGTCGCTGTGCTGGGCCCCCCAGCAGGCCTCGAAAGTGGCGACAGTTTGACAGATCGCAGCCCCCCAGGGATGGCGAGGTCTAAGTTGGGTCCGCGCGTGGCGTCACTGTGCTGGGCCCCCCAGCAGGCCTCGAAAGTAGCGACAGTTTCACAGATCGCAGCCCCCCGCAGGCAACACAGGAGGAGGCAGGCAGGAGGCAGGAGGGAGGCGGGAGGAGACGCGCGAGCAGTGCTCTATTCAAAACGAATACCCAACCAAGGAGGGCTGGGAATAAAGCAGGGAGCAGGACGCAGGAGGAGGGAGGGAGGCGGGAGGAAGGACGGTGGAGACCACAGTCCCTTATTCAAAACGAATACCCAACCAAGGAGGGTTGGGAAACATCAAAATCGAGTGTCCGAAAAACATACAAAAACACATGGTCTCGCAACACGGATGTTCAACAAAAGCGCTTACGCGCGCGCTCTTGCGAAATATTAAGAACACATTGTTTTGTTTAAGACTTCAACCAAAAATGCTACCAAGCGGGCTTCGCGCGCGCGCATGTCGAAATCGTTCGCACGCCCATGCGCGCGTGCCGTCCCGAAATCCCCCGCAACAAATGGGAAGAAGTGCACACGCGCGCGTCGTCGCGCGCGCATGGCGAAGTCCTTCAAAAACCTTCGGTGACGGAAGGATTTCAAAATTGAGTGTCCAAAAAACATGCAAAAGCACAGGGTTTCGCAACACGGATGTTCAACAAAAGCGTGCGGGCGCGCTCTTGCATCGTCGTCGTAGTCGTCGTCGCCGTCCTCCCTCCTCCATCGTCGTCGTCGTTGTCGTCGCCGTCGTCGTCCTCTGTCTTTCCTCGTCGTAGTCGTCGTCGTCGTCGTCGTCGTCTTGGCGTCGTCGTCGTTTCCGTGGTCGTTGTCGCCGTGGTCGTCCTTCCTCCCTCGTCGTCTTCGTCGGCGTTTCGTCATTGTCTCTACTATTTCGTCGCCGTCGTCGTCGTCGTCGTCGTCGTCGTCGTCGTCTTCCCTCCTCCCTCGTCGTTGTCGTCGTCGGCGTCACCGTCCTCCCTCCTTCTTCGTCGTTCGCGTCGTCGCCGTCCTCCCTCCTCCCTCGTCGTTGTCGTCGTTGTCGCCGTCGTCGTCCTCCCTCCTCCCTCGTCGTCGTCGTCTTCGTTGGCGACGTCGTCGTCGTCGTCGTCGTCTTCGTCGTCGCCGTCGTCGCCGTTGTCGTCGTCGGCGTCGTCGTCGTCATTGGCGTCGTCGTCGTCGTCGGCGTTGTCATCGGCGTCGACGTCGTCGGCGTCGGCGTCGGCGTCGTCGTCGGTGTCGTCGTCATCGTCGTCGTCGTCGTCGAAGTCGTTGGAGACGTCGTCGGTGTGGTCGTAGTCGTTGTCGGCGGCGTCGTCGTCGTCGTTGTCGCTGTCGTCGTCGGCGTCGGTGTCGGTGCCAAGTGCAATTTGGTACCCACCGTCACGGCCTTAAGAGGTCATGCGACCAAGTTGTGGGTGGGAGGGTGTGATGTTTGCACGAGCAGCGGGGAGGACATCTTCAAGCTGAGCAAGCGATTCATTGCGCCACGCAGATTGGACCACCGGAACTTGCTCCACCTAGATTGCACAACAAACACTGCGGGGCCCACGCTGGCCTATATTGAATAATTTGGGGGTGCTCGCGTGAAAATGTTTAGGACGCTCATGACGGCCGAACAGAAAACCCAAAGATCGCCCCAAGACGACCCAAGAGGCCCCGAAGAGTGCCCGAAGATGGCCTCAAGACGGTCAGAAAGGCTCCCAAGACTGCACAAGAGAGGGAACTCGAACTGGCCTTGAGGGCATCGTGGGGGCCAGAGCACTCCAGAGGGCGTCCCAAGACCCCAAGCGGCATCTAAGAGGCCTCTGGATCACAACCCAGGCGCGGTGGCGGATTGGGCCGAAAGCTACTAGCCTGAGAGACGTGTCAAAACATCGCTGCGAGAACCGCAGCGCTGGCAAGGCCGCCCAGCCATCCCGCGGAGGCGCTCGATTCTACATCTTCTGGTGACGCGCCTTCGACGCCAGTGACCTTGACGCCGGTCACAATCGCGGAGACGGAACCTGTAATGGCAGCCTGCAGGTCAGGGTGCGACGAAAGTGCGACCTCCAGCTCGCCGAGACCGACCGATTGCAGGTGAGAGCCGGCGGCTTCCGCGGCCTCGGCATCTTGAATCTGGATCAGAGCCTTGACCACCACCGAGCCCTTGGAAATGATGGCGCTCACCATGTCTGCTGTGACACCGAGGCCAACGCTGGACGCGAGCTGATCCTGGACAATGCTGGTGAAGGCAGCCATCGCTGCTGGGTCTGTGTCAAGAGTGTCGTAGTCCACTCCCCCGATCATCATCGAGAGCTCCAGGACCTGAGCGGAGATCAAGACCGTCATGTCTTGCCAGGTCCCATCGCAAGGTATCCTGCAGGTGGATCTGCCGATAGGCGGCAACGCACTGTCAGAATCGATTCGGCCCATGTAGGTACACTCTGCGTCTCCGTCCAAGTCGTTGACTGCGCTCGCGCTAGGCACCGAATCGTCAAAAATCCACCTGTCCTCCCCAGCATCGTCACCGTCGCATCCGAGATCGTGGTAGAGGTACCAACCCGCGTCCGAGCTATGGTAGATCGGTGCGCCTGCAGCGCTGGTATCTGTCCACTGGAACAGGGACACTGGCCACGCCGAGTGGCTTGCACATGGCCACGTGACTGCGAGCGGTCCAGGAACCTCCGTGGGATGAACCGTCGGCTGCGGCGTAGGCTGTGCTGCGGGCATCGCTGTCGATGTCTGGGCTGTCAGAGCTGAACGCGTCGAGGTCACGAAAATTGTCTTGGTGGTTAAAGATGCACTACTCAAGGTCGAGGTGGTCGTCCGCGTAGTCGTCCCCGTGGTGGCCGTAATCGCCGAGGTACTCGTCCTCGTGGCGGTCACAGTCGTCCCCATGTTGGTCGTCCCAGAGGTCACCGACATCGCCGAGGTAGTCATCGAAATCGCCGAGGTGCTCGTCATCTTGGCGGTCAAAGTCGTCCCCGTAGAGGTCGTCCCAGGGGTCACCGAAATCGCAGAGGTACTCGTCCCTGTGACGGTTACGACTGACATGTCCTCGCCGGAGACTGAGACTGTCATGTACTGCCAAGACGAATCGCAAGCTACTATCCAGGTCGCGCTGCCCACAGGCGGGTAAGTACTGTCAGAATTGATTCGAGCCGCGTAACTACATACTCCATCGCCGTCCAAGTCCTGGACTGCGCTCGAACTAGGCACAGAATCATCAAAAATCCACCTGTCCACAGTATTGCTGTCACCGTCACAACCAGGGTCGTGGTAGAGGTACCAACCCGCGTCCGAGCTATGGTAGATCGGTGCGCCTGCAGCGCTGGTATCTGTCCACTGGAACAGAGACACTGGCCACGCCGAGTGGCTTGCACACGGCCACGTGACTGTGAGCGATCCAGGGACCTCCAGGATCTCCATACTGCAGAGCCCACACTCTTCGCAGACTCTGGAGGCCAGCAGCTGCTGGTCGTAGTCGAAGTGGGCAAGGCACCGGCCGCTCTCTTTGTAGAGCGTTCCCGATCCGGCTTTGTACTGGCTGCAACCGCCGAAGCCTGCGTTCCAGGTCGTCGGGTCGCCGGAGCAGCGGGGTACCGCCGGCGGCGTCGACGGGGCCGACGGCGACGGCGTGGGCGGGGGAGGCGGAGGGGCAGGCGTGGCCGGACACGGTGTGGGGGTCGGTTGCGCCACGGCAGCCGCGGAGCAGACCCCATCGGAGCAGGTGCCCTTTCCGCTTGCGCATGAGGTGCCATCTGGCAGGGCGTTGACTGCAGACCCGCCGCTCCACGTCCAGCCGTCCATGGGGTCGCAGAGCCCGTTCACGAGGCACATCACCCTGCAGTCGTTGCCGTCGTGCAGGCCGCACAGGTCCCCCCAGTGGAGTCCTGAGAAGATAGAGTCGTAGCCAGAGCACCACGCGCTCGTGCACACCCCCTGCAGGCAGAAACCTGTGCCGCCCAGGTGCAGCGCGCACAGCGTGGCGCTCGTGCTGAGCATGCCGTCGCAGTCGCAGCACGCGCCGCCATCCGCGGCGTCTGGAGTACATTCCTTGCCCGCCTCGAGGACGCAGCCCTGGCAGAACGAGCATGCCGTCCCAGAAGCACACTCGCACGTCTCCCCATCCTCCAAAACCCCGTTGCCGCAGGACGGGTTGTACTCGGTGAAGGCCTGGCAGTCATAGGCCAGGCTGGTGCCGATGGTCTCGCAGATCTCGGCCTGCGACTTTGCCGAGTTGAACTGGTAGATGCCATCGTAGGTGGCGTCCCCATAATCCATGATCCCACCAATCTGCCCCTGCAGGTCTGGGTCTTCCGTGAATACATGGTCGGCTCCGAAGTTGTGGCCGATCTCGTGGGCGAAGGTGTACCAGAGCCTGGACGAGGCCCAAGAGACGCCAGTATTGAACCGAGTCAGAACGCAGCCCTGAGCGCTGGTTTGCACGCAATACTCGCGCCCGCAGATCCCGAACCAATAGCCGTCGCCCAAGTACGCGAGGCCGATTGTTCCAGAGTCCTCGAAGCAGTCGTCGAACAGATGCCAAACGCCCTGCGTCGAGGGCTGGGTCCAGAACGAGAATCGATCCAGCTGCTCGTCGATACCGACGCTGCAGTCGTCCCAGGGCACCCCAGTGTCCCCGGTTGCCCCTGGGATGTAGATGGTGGCGAGCTGAAGGACAACATTCATCTGAGGCTGGTAGACCATGTTCGCCAGAGCGAACTGGATCTGCACGTACTGCATCGCTTCGTCTGCCCCGCCGAGCCTGTCGTAGAGCGTTCTGCCAACTGCGACGCCGATGCTGAACGCACGGGTGATGTGACTGCTGGGGTAGCAGTCCACCCACCTCTGGATCTCGGCTGGCGCGAACACGCGCGCGATGCCGCTCTCGTCCACGACCCTCTGCGCGGCCGGGCCCCTGCGCGCCGTGGCCGTACCGTTGCGGGCATCCGCCTCGAGCGCGATCAGCTCGCCCCGGCTCCTGAGGGGCAACCTCAGGTGGGGACCGGCTCGGGGGGGGGAAACATGGACCTGGAATCGACGATACACCGCCGATAGATCGGCGGTAGGCCACCGACAGCATGGCTTGGGTGGGCTATCAGGCCCGTATCGTCGAACAATGGGCGATTGGGGGTCGATGCGTCCCCCCTGAGCCCATCTACAGTAGGACCTGGGCCAGAAGAAGCTCCCTCAAGAACATGAGACCCTCTGCCTGCCCAAACACACCGAACACTCGATGGTGCCATACCAGGGTGCGCAAGAACATCCCACAAACACGACGAACATCAGGGCAGCCTCCCCCGAACCGACCTCGATCTCATACCCCGGCCCGACTCTGGCGGAAGACAGGCCGGCATAACCATACACGCTCGAGGGTCCGCACCGGGGCCACCCCTGAGGCGCGCGCGCGCGCAGGTGGCACGCGCGCCGGAGGCGCCGCCAGGGGGGGCCCCGGCGCAGAGCCAGGAAATCCGCGCCGACCTCCGAAAAAGCTCGTGTGTATAGATCGTTGTGGCTCGTTTCTCGACCCTCCTACCCTACGCATCGGTCGGAAGAGGTAGGCAAAAGCATGAAGTAGGCAGGCGGAGAACGCAGACTGGGCTCAGGTCCTCCCAGGGAGCAACAGAACACAGCAGGAGCATACCGATTCTTGAAGTAGGGAGGCGCTTGAAGTAGATGAGGGCCTGGGCATCCGAGAGCGCCCACGTTCAACGACCGGCGCGTCGCGTTGCCCCCGAGCTCCTGACGAGCCCGACCAGCCGCTCGCCCTCGCTCCCCAGCACCGCGGCGTGCCCGGCGGCGCGGTAGAGCAGCGCGGGGGGCACCGGCCGGATCGCGGCGCCCGCCTGCGTCGTGAGGCTGGCCCCCGCGGCCACCACTGGCCTCACGAGCGGCGAACGACGAACGTATCCACAGATGTCGCCGCGCCGTTTGCTCTCGACGCGCCCCAGTGGACGACGCCGACGCCACGGCAGCAGGGCCGCGGCAAGCCCTGCGTCCGAGGCAGAGTTCACCCCGGTGTCCGAGGCGCCCTCCCAAACACGTAGGGTTAGGTCGGGCACGTCCCCCAACAGGCAGATCTTCGACAAAGATAGAACAGATTCAAAAAGTGTTCAAACATAGGCAGAAAGATACGAATTCGTCCCCAGACTATGTTTTCACTATTTCTGAATATTCCTCCGGAAGAGGGACAGGCTCGACTTAAACGTAGGGCCGCGAAGTCGGAGCAAACAGCGCGTCGACATATCCATGCCCCCGCGGCCTGGGCACCGAGGCGCTGTTCCACGGATGCGCGGTCCCATGGACGCGTTCCGCGCGGAGCCTCTCCGCAGGGCCGCGCGAAGCCTCTTCCAAAAGGGTCAAAAATAGTCAAGCAAAAATCGTCCCCAGACTATTTTTTTACTATTTTTGAATTTTCCTCCTGTCGGGGCACAGGCCCGACACAACGCTGTTCCATGGATGCGCGATCCCATGGACGCGCTCCGCGCGGAGCCTCTTCGCAAAGCCGCCCGGCACCCAGGCATGCGACGTCTCGGCAAAGGATCGAATCGATAAGCCAGCTCGACGATCGAGACAAATCGGATCGGCGGAAATCGGCAGAGTCGGGAGAAGCCGAGCCAGCGGAAATCGGCGGGCTGGTGAGGCCCGCCATTGACAAACCGAGATCCCAATCGGAGTCCGAAGTCGAACCAAATCGGAATCGGAATCGATCGAAATCGAATCGAAGACAGTTGGAGGAGTCGACGTGAGACTGCTTTGGCTGCGCATACCCAGACATGAGACAGCATGCCTTTTCAAGAACGGGGTCCCGGAAGTCCCGACCACTCCCCCGGGACAGGGTTTCCCTCCTGACTCATGCTTGACGGTCCCAGGCCTCCAGAAGCCCAAGGGGGCCAAACACCTCCCGTCATGATCCGTCCAAGACGCCAAGCATGTCTGGGAACGCGTCCCACCCACGATTGAAGGGGCCCTGGGACACACAAATAAATACACACAAATACAAATGTTCCCCAGATGTTCCTATATTTTTGGGGTTTCTGTTTCCCCCCCACTTCCCATATTTTCCTATATTTTCTGGGGAATCGAAGATTAATTGTGTCGGTGTGTTTCTTTTCCTCCTGAACGATGGCCACGACGGCGCCAGCTCCAGGTCGATCAGCGCGCCCCAGGCCTCGAAGCGGAGCCGCAGGAGCCCCGCGCGCGACGCCTCCTCAAGCAGACGCCGGCCACCCGTGCCGGCCAGCGGGCCGCCGGCCAGCAGCTCCTGCGGGCCCCAGGAGTATACACCACCACCACCACCACCACCTCCATCTCCACCTTCCCCCCTCCCCCTCCTCTTCTCCACCCTCCCTCCATTCCACCCACCCCTCATCCACCCTCCTCCTCCCCTCCTTCACCTCCTCGTCCCCTCCGTTCCACCCTCCCTCCTCGTCCCCTCCTTCACCCTCCATCCACCTCCCTTCCGCCCTCCCTCCTCCACCCTACTCTTCCCCTACCCTTTCCTGGGAGTGGGAGGGGGTGAGGGAGGTGTTGGTTGCTTCGCCAAGTGCCGCAACGCGAACGCCACCACTGGCGGGAACCCCAGTTTGAACCCCCCCCCGACCGCCTCTTGGGGGGGACGTGGCAGCTTCGACCACAGGACCCAATGCCGCCAGCGCCCAGCGCCCAGGTGATGGTGGTGTGTATTTCTGGGCCCGACAGCTCCTGGCCGGACGCGTCGCGCAGAGAGAGGTGGACGCTCAGGGCGTCCCCAGCGGCGGGTCTGCCCGCAGCAGTCCTGACCAGCCCCGATCTCACCCCTACCCCTACGACTGACGAGCCCAGCGGCGACGACACTCTTAGGGATGCGCCCTCTGAAACTGCGGGGATCCTTGAGATCTGTGCCAAGATACTAAAGGCCTCCTGGATGGGGTCCGAGTAAGTAAGGTTGGAGGATCGTGCCGAATCGCCGATGCATCACCGAATCATCAGCGATGAATCACCGATTATCAGCGATGCATCAGCGATGCATCAGCGATGCATCGGCGATTCATCGGCGATGCATCCGCGACGTCGGCGATGCATCGGCGACGTGGGGAAAGTTGGGCACCACATCGACCCACATCGGCAATGCATCGGCGATGCGGCGCGATCCTCCGACCCCGCACACTCCGACCCCATCTGGGAGGCCTAGAGGGGATCCTTGAGATCGGCGTCGAGATAAGTGATGGCGATGCACAGTCGCATAGGGCGGCCCTCACGTGGGCGGAAAGGCGACTCGGGCGCGCCGCGCCCCAGGGGCGCCCCGGAGTGCGCCCCCGCAACCCCGGGTAGAAGGGGGGAGGAGGAGGAGGAGGAGGAGGAGGAGGAGGAGGAGGAGGAGGAGGAGGAGGAGGAGGAGGAGGAGGAGGACGAGGAGGAGGAGAGGAGGAGGAGGAGAAGGAGGAGGAGGAGGAGGAGGAGGAGGAGGGGAGGAGGAGGAGGAGGAGGAGGAGGAGGAGGAGGAGGAGGAGGAGGAAGATATAAGGCGTCGAGATAGGGATCTGTTTTAGGCTGGCAGCGTCCGCCGAGGCGCGGGCCCACCGCCCGCGCAGGCCGCCACCGAAAGTGCCGTGAGGAGCGAGCACGCGCCGCTGCGGGCGGCTGGGCTGGCAGAGCCGCCCGCCCGCCGGGCGGGCGACTTGCGCATGGGCCGGGCCGCCCGGCGCGCCGCGCGGGTGCGCCGCCAGGGGGGGGGGGCGCCAACATAGTCCCGCCAGGATGGCCTGAGCCAGCGGCCTGGGCCAGAAGAAGACGGCACGGGGGGGGGGGGGACGGGGAAGGGGAGTGACGAAGTCGTGCGTGCGGCTGGTTTCGGCCCCGCCGCCGGGCGGCTTCTCCGGTACACGGGCGCCTCCCGCGCCAGGAGACGCCAGAGGACCCAGCTACGTCAGCTGATTCGGACAACCCCCATTTGGTATTCCCCCCTTTGCTGTGTTCAGCGACGGCGCGGTATGAAAGCTCTTGCAGGACAATCTGGGCAGCAACACACCGAATGCTTCGATCAACATGGGCACAGATGATACGGAATATTTTCTTGGTTCCAAGGCAGCAAGACGAGACGCGGGTAGACTACATCCCGAAATCAACCAGACCCTGCAGGCGTATGGCAAACGAAAGGATTTTACGTCACACTGACCTCTGATTGGAGAGTCCTAACCTCCCTGCAGGGCCGCGAGAAGGATCTGTCATTGTAGGATCGCCAGGCAGCAGCAGCCCGAGTTGTGCATTGCGGCTCGCGCTTGGGCGGTTTGGCCCGATACGCGCCCTGGCCAGGGACGCCGCTCAAGAGGTCCTGCAGCGCTGCAAATTGACTACCTACCAGACCACCCCAACCCAACCCGAAGACCCGAATTTCGGGTTGGGGGGGTAAGGGTTCCACATGTGTTTTTTCGATGTTTCCCGACCCCCCCCCCCACTGGAAATCGAGGGTAAATCTGAGCCTTCGGGTTGGGTTGAGGTGGTTTGGTGGGTGGTGACAAATCCAGCCAGACCTCCAGTTGGTGAGTCCTTGATGGCAAACGTCTTGCGGGACCTCGAAGAGGAGAACTATCGTAGCAGGCTCGCAAGTCTGGACTTCCGACATCCTTAGAAGGGCGCAAGGCATGCCAAGATCGCCAGAGGAAGGCGTGGCTCCTGGCGGTGCGTCAAGACGGCCCAGCAGGGCCACACGACTGCCGACGATGCCCCCGAAACGGCCCAAGAGGCCTCCGAGACCGCCCCCGACGGAGGTCCAAGAGGAGACCGAGCGGGCTTCGAGAGCCGTGCGCCCAGGACGGCCCGAAGGACCTCCGAGCTCGCCCCTGGACGGCACTGGAGTTCACGCGCTCCTGTTCAACTGACGTGTGCCTGCTATGTTTCGGATCTGCTTGCCCGCAGGAGGAGCGGAAGCGGAAGGAGGGCTAGAAGATCCACATCGGGCAAAAAGGGCTGCGAAGACAAAGACTATGAAGCCCGTTCCTTGGAGGCTGGGGTCCCGAACAAGTCCTACCAGACGCGCGTGACGACCCTGCAAGCGGTGGCATGAGACCCGAGCAACCCTACTCTCTAGCTTCCTCTCCTGTTCCGCAGGCAGCTGCTCCAGCGCGCAGCCCTGTGCCGTTTTCGCTCGGTCAGCCCCGCGCCACGGAAGGCCCAGCCTGCCGAGGCCGGTCGGCACTCCGCTCAGTCTGTCTCTGTACTTTTCGTCCTGGCCCGCCCCTCATCCTCCTCGAGATAGGAACGTCCTCGATCCCCATCCTCATCGGTCCTCCTGATCCTCACGGGGTCTTCACGATGCGAGGACTCCTGGAGATCACCAGCACGTGAGATCCGTGCTCATTCCCGAAGCTCTCCGGGTGTCCTGTCCTGGGGGGCTCGACCGTGCCGGTCTTGGAGAGGGAAGGAGGCTGCCGAGCAGGCCTGAGCGCCCAAAACCGCCCAGGCTACTCCCGAGAGGAAACGAAGACAACGCAAGCAAGCGGCCGAGATGCTTCAAGAGAGCCGCCAAGAGGGTCCAAGGATCGCACAAGAGGAACCAGGGGAGGCCCTGCTTCCACAGACAATCAATATCATTGAATTCATCATGCCTTCTGTTCTAAGATGCTTCGCTTCTTCTGATGTTCTGCTCGTGAAGGCCTCTGGGATGCCTGGGCTTCTTCAGAAGGCTCTCGACGGCCTACGAGAGGCTCCAGAGCTGACCAGGACGGTCCAGGAGGGCCCCCAAGAGGGGATCAAGACGGCTAAAAGAGTGCCTCTGGAGAAGCCCACGCAGGCTCCAACCACCAAGAGGCCAAATCAGGCGCACAGAGGGCTGCAAGATGGTCCAAGAGTGCCTTCAGAGAGAACAACAAGTCTCCAAAAGTGCCCAAGATGACCCCGAGAGGCCCCAAAGACGGCCCCAAGAGAACCTCCGAGACCCCAAACGGGCCTCAAGGGAGCACCCAGAAAGCCCAAGACGGCTTAAGAAAATCCAAAATCGAATAGTCACCTGAGGCGCCCAAGACTACCCTAGACGTCGGCGGGTGTGGGGTGAGCCAATGAATGAATGTGCGGGGAGGCGTTGCTAAGGCAGAGACCGCTCATAACCTATGGGGCGAAAAATAGACGTAGCTGGACACGCGCTACATTCTCGTCCACTTCGACTACGGCGGGACACTATGCACCCGCCATTTGCTACAGTTTGCTTGCCCGCCAGCATGGTTGGACGGAGACCGACCCACAAACACATGTGTAACAACGTCGCCTTCGTCCGCAAGCCACGGACGGAACTGTGCGAATGTGCGCCCCCTTGCTCAGATGAAGTGGCCGGTGACCGCATTCGTTGGTTAGCCCGCGACGTCTTGCGTAGCAGATATAATTGGCCTGGAACTTCACAATGACATATAAGCGTGAAGGCCGCCCCCTTTCCCTCCTCCCCTCCTCCACGCTCCGAGGCACAAGACGCACTCTCCGATGCAAACATGTATGCTCGGCCCCGCGCGCTGCATCGACGCCCTCTTTCTTGCCATCCCAATGACTTGATCGTTGTTTTCTGTCGGTCTGCTTGTTCCTGCATGCGGGGCACAACGGACTGAGTTGAACACGGTTTCTCCCCCCTCGCCTTCCCTCTCCTCTGCTTCCTCCTCCTCCTCCTCCTCCGCCTCCTCCTCATCATCATCCCTTCTTCTCATAGAGAACTCCCCCCTGTCGCACCCCCAGACGTGTCGGCAGGGCGTGCCAGGCGTTTCGCCTGAGACTTCCTCGCCACATATGACCCTGAAGCTTGAAATCTTACAACGGTGTCACGGATGCAGGGTGGGCCGTGTTCAAAATGTGGCTCTCGCATTAGCGCCTCGCGCATTATTCTCATAAGCGTTTGCAACAACTTCACGGGTGGAGGACGGGCCGTTCCGAAAATGTGGGCTTCATCTTAGCGCCGCTTGCAACATTTCCTGCTTACAGGGCGGGCCGTTTTCAAAATATGGTTCTCGCATTAGCGCCCACATTCGTCTTCAAAACGTGCAACAGCTTCGCGGATGGAGGGTGGCTCCTTTTTGAAATGTGGCTCTCCCCTCAGTGCCGCGCGCGTTCGTCCTGTAAGTTTGCACAGGATTCAAATACTAGTATGGCCGAAGCCCCAGGAATAGTGTTTTGGCACGATGTCAGATTGTCGGGACGCAACACTAAGGTTGATTCGTCGTGTTGAGTCCCCAGGGATGGTGTACTGGCACGACGTACGATTGTCAGGACGCAACGGTCACGGTGTTGATTCGTGGCGTTGAAGTCCCAGGAACGCCAGTTTGGCACGATTGAGGGTTCTCAAACGGTTGCCTTCTAATGGGCCATTTCCCGCAATGAAAATAAATCACTGTAGGGACCTATGAGGAAGGAGCCTGGAGGGAGGGATTATTGCAATATCGTTGATGCGTCTTCGGTTTACACTGTTCCTCCTCCTCCTCCTCCTCCTCCTCCTCCCCATTCTTCCCCCTCCTCCTCCTCCTCCTCCTCCTCCTCCCCCTCCTCCTCCTCCTCCTCCTCCTCCTCCTCCTCCTCCCCCGCATCCTCCCCCCATCTCCTCCTCCTCCTCCTCCTCCTCCTCCTCCTCCTCCTCCTCCTCCTCCTCCTCCTCCTCCTCCTCCTCCTCCTCCTGCTCGCGCGACCCCCGCCTGCGCCATCGAAAGCCCGCCGACCGACGCCGACCTCGGGGACGGGTCCTGCGGGGCACCCGGCCGGGGCAGGCCCGCCGCTGCCGGCGGGGCCTCGGCTCGGGCGCCACCGCCTCCGAGCGCTCGCCCCTCGGAGGGGAGGGGGCTGCTGCTGAACGTCGGCATGCACGTGTGCGGAGCTCGAATGCAAGGCAACTCTTATACCAACTACCTATACGACCACCCTTCGGGTGATAAGGAGGTGAGGGGGGGAGGAGAAACCAACGTCTCACTCAATCGATCTCACTATCGATCCCACAATCGATTTCACAATCGATCTCACTCGATCGATCTCACTATAGATCTCACTCGACCGATCTCACTATCCAACCCACTATCGGTCCCACTATCGATCTCGCTATCGATCTCACTATCGATCTCTCTTTCGATCTCACTATTAATCTCACGATCGATTCCACTATCGATCTCGCTATCGATCCCACTCGGTCGATCTCACTATCGATCTCACTATCGATCTCACCGTCGATATCACGATCGATCTCACTATAGATCTCACTATAGATCTCTCACTATAGATCTCACTATCGATCTCACTATCGGTCTCATCATCGATCTCACTATCGATCTCACTATCGATCTCACTGTCGATCTCACCACGGGACACCACGGGACAACGACGGGACACCAGCGGGACACCAGCGGGACACCAGCGGGACACCGGCGGGACACCGCGCGCCAACGGTTGCCCGGCGGAGAACCTTTTGGTCCAGCCGCGGCCCAGCCACAGGATCATTTCCTCTCCCCCGCCCACGCAGCTTCGCCTCGCCCGCACGCACGGCACGAACACGAAACCGAAATCGATTTCCCGGTAGGGGGGCTCTCCGTTCCACTTCGATCTCACCCCCTCACCTCCGATGCCCTCCTCTCCCCCCCCCGGGAGGGGGGGGGAGAGGAGGGGGAGACGGAAGAAACGGAAGGGGAGAGAAAGACGGAAGGGGAGAAGGGGGACCCAGAGATCCGATGTCTTGATTTGTTGTCGGTACAGGGCCCATATGAGGTCTCGATCCCCTCACCAGCAGTCTCCAGGAGCCCCAGGACAAAGG